GATGAATTTTTTCGTTCGAAATTTAATTTTTCTTTTTTTTTTAAATAAAAATTCAGGTCATTTTATTCGGATTTGGTCATGTTTTTTTTTAATATAATGTGTCAATTCTTTTTACCAATATTGGTATAATAAAGCAATTATCAGTCTACAAGTAATAATTAAATATGTTAATTCCATTTTTTTTTAAAACTTGGTAAGTTTGAAGAATTAATTCAGTGTGTCAAGATTTTACATTTATGTTCTATTATGTCATAACAGAACTAACTATCTAGGACCAATTGTGTTGTACTAATGGGGTAAGCCTGGTTCAAAATATTATATTCTAGTGGTATGTTCGGCAAGATTAATGTGAGAATTGTTTATTTTCAAATGTTTTTGAAGTGTTGACTATTGACTATTCAACTGAACTTTCTCACAAAGTATCAACAAATATCGATATTTTTCAGAATTCCTATTTCATTCTTTAGAGATGCTAAGTCTGTCAGCTAATGATATCATGTAAAGTTATATTTTATGGACTACTGATTTATATTATTTGCTTAATTCTTTTTAGCAGTTATTAATTCCAAATGTAACTAGTAAGCCGGATTCGTCTCGAAATTCTAGACATCAAAATATATTGTCAATTCATTATGATAATATTTTTCAAGTTTATTATCAGCATTTCATAGAAATAGATGTACTTGACCTATATGGACCCAAATTGGTTAACGATCAGATTTTTATGAATTTATTGAATTTACGAAATTCTATTTGTTTTACTAGTCTAAGTATTTAAGTTTTGGTGTTCTCAATTCTTAAATCGCTATCAGATTAATTAGTATACAAAAAAAACATGAAGAGGTATATAGTATATGAACTGAGTAAAACAACGATATTAGTAGGGCAAGTTGTAATTTGTGTTTTGAAGTTGTAGAGATGGCCTAATTTCGGTATATGTCTTTGACAATGTTAAGTTGATTGAGTTCAGCTATTTCTTAGATTATCCAGTGATTATAGACGATATCATGAATGATTACTGCAGGCAATTTCGATTATTTCACCAATATAACGACAATCTGTTTCCATAACTCTATTTCCAAATAATTGTCTTTATATATCCTTTTGTCCCGTTGTCTGTGATGATATAGTAATGGCTAACTTCTCACACACAAACTGATAAGCTGGACTTATATCGACGTGTCTGCTATTTGAAGATCGACTTGAACTTTATACTTCTGGACATTTTCCAGCATTCTTAAAGTTTCTTTGATCGAGAATTTGCATAATTTTAAAACCAAACTACTATCCACAGTATTTTTTCATGCATTGATCTAAGTGATAATATTTACTATGTCTTTCTACCTTTTATTTCCGTTCACTTTTACTTAACTGAAGAGGTTGTCTGATTTATTTGACAAATAACTTATTTTTATAGATAGATAAAATTTACATTCCAGTATGTTTCTAAAAAGATTCATTTCTTAATTTGTCGGTTATTCATTAGTTGTTTTGTGTGGATAATTCAGTACTCTATCAATGTGAGTATGCTGACGAATCAATGGACTTTTCTTGAACTAATTCAGTATCAGAAATTAACTTTTAAATATTAAATATGGCATGAATTTTTTCATTTTATGATTTACTGAAACTTTTCAAATTGATTCTTACAGAATATAGACAAAGTATAAATATAGTACTCAGTTATCATTTGGAATTGATAATCATTAAGCTAGATTTATGAATCTTTGATCGCCATCAAAGAATGACGTTAAGTGAAAGCCAATAAAAACTTGTAAATATGAAAGAGTTATTTTACTAATTCATTTTGAAAATTTCTGAAAGTACTAAATGAATATCATATGTAGGAAACAACGAATGCATTTCAAATTTTGTGGCATCCATGGGACATTGGAACTAATAGATAACAATAGAATACCTTGCATTTCTAACTGTAGTTGTTTGAGACTAGTACACTATGGCATGTTTACAGCTTTCTTTTATAGTCGCTTAACCAATTTATTCAATCAACATTTTCTTGATAAAAGTATTAAAAAAAGAGCAGACTAAATATTAGCTAAAGCATTCTTCTAGTGTTTTCATCATTTACACTATCTGACAAATAAATCTATATCTCCACCATTTATTTCAGATAAAAAGCAATATTGAAAGTGGCATTATACGATTGTGAAGGTTGCTGAGTTTGATTGAAATCATGAATCAATCAATGTTAGACAACTATTAGGACCCTGCATCCATCGAACAGCTGTTTCATCCTAGTGCTCACCCACGACCTCAGCTTGAGGGAGTTGAACCCATGAACTTCGATCTCATTCTCGATCACTTACCCTCTAGAAAACTGAGCCGGCATCTAACAGTAATAGACTTATAATTTCAATACAACTCAACAATCTTCTAAATATCACAATGAAAACTATGGTGTGCTCACTAGTGACAAGTTTTGTGAGGAAATTCTCGGAGTTCTAGTGAGTAGTCGTGACTTGTGGAGTTCAGCCGTATCGGGTTAGAGGCAGTTACTCACAGAAGACAATGTATGATGTCTTACAGTATCGTGGATTGATTGAAGTTAAACATTAACACCGACAGATACCGGCTCAGTGGCCAAGGGATTAAGTGATCTCCCGTGAGACCGAAGTTCCTGGATTCGATTCTCTTGATTCCGCCTGCGACGGCCGTGGATGTCTACTGTTGATGATTTTCATAACTAGGATGAAACGGCAGCCCAGTTTTCATAAGGTGTCTAGTGGTCTTTAACTGATTGTAGGCAAGGGATCGACAATATAATACCCATTATTTACCTAAAACTATAGTTCTTAAAGCTTGGACTTTTTAATCAAGTTAATCGTAATTTTTTCGAACAATCATAAATATATAACCGATATGTCCTGAAGTTACTTGATTGCATTCAAATAATTTGAAAGATCCGTTTTGCAATCTAAGTTACTGTAAAGATGAACAACAATGTGTTAATTTGATTCCACCATGCTTTAATCCAGTACCCTGTAAGACTTATGTGAATTACTTTGAAGAGATCTTGTTATCCACATCAGTGTAAAGCGCGGAAAAAGTTTCTAAAAAATTACTGAATAGGATAACGGAAATGACTGACTTATTCGAATAAAATAAAATGGAACTAACATTTTTTCTCGTAACTATAAATTGCAATCACTTTGTAGATTCACTTATATTCGCACAAAATGATGGTGTACACACAACAAATCTAACTTGCGGAAGCAAATTTTTTTAATTATGAGATTTATACTAAAATACCGTCATTCAGTTTTCTGACAACACTTCCTATTAATGGACATCTTGTAATGTAAATTATATTTAAATTACCTTCGGCTTTAATACATAACAAAATTGGGAAAGTTTAAGGATGATATGACTGATGTAAACTGTGGTATAAGATGAGTTTTTTACACAACTTATCATTGTTTCTTATTGTTTGCAGAGAAAATTAAAGTGAATTATCAATAAATGGTTAAGCAAAACAAACTTCAAATCAAAGTTATACGACAAATAGTCACATTATTTTGTATAAAATGAAATTTCACTGAATTATTAAAGTTTGCATTATATGATTCAAACATTAATTAATTTTTTAAATTAAATGCTGCAAATCACTTTCCTAGATATAAAAATGAATTTGCACACATGGATAATAATATGGAGAGTATATAATTTGCTGACAAATTTTTAAAAATGATTTTGATCGTGATGTACTGCAACAATATGAACCTATACAGAATTAAAAGTATTTTTTCTGCATGAATTTTCAGACAACTTACTAAAGCTGTTTAAATTAAATGGAAATCAAACTATTTAAAACAATGAATAATAAAAATGAAAGATCTGTCTAAATCACTTTGAGATCTTCATATTCTCACTAGGAACGCTAAATAAGCAGATCATAGGGTGTTTTTAATACAAATTTTCAATTCTAGACGATCAAACAGCTTCCTGTCACTTTGGACATATATAGTAAATGAAAGATGTACCTTTTATTCTCATTTCGATAAACATTGAACAGTAACAACCACGGTCACCACTATACTATCCAGTCTTGAAATAATTCAGTTTGACGATTTGCATTAAAGGTGATAATGACTGCTACAGTAGAAGGTCTGTAAAATGTGTAATTAGATCTGTAACAAATTTTATTCGGTATTCACGGTAATAGTAACTGTTTCAAAACAAAAGTTTACACGATCATATATTATGAGGAAACATTTTACAATATTTAACGAAAGGTGCTGTCCTTTTTCAAGTTGAAGATTTTTACTAGTTGTTACCTTTCAAGAGTCTATTTCAACACGGTGAAGAGTGAATAGTTATTTCGCTTGATTAGGTGACGACTGGTCACCTTCTAAGGATAGAAATTAGGAAGTTAAAATTCCTCTGGAAGTGTTGAGTTAACTAGCTTCTTGACAATATTTTAATCAGTGTTAAAGATTAATTTATGATACGGCTTGTAGCAGCACCCAACACAATGTAAGGTTATACAAATAACGTCGTAGGAGAAAGATATATAACTGTATAAGGTATTTAAGTAAAATAATCGAAATCAGACACACGATTCGCTTTGAAGAGATAAACCATGGCAATTCGACGAGTCAGTAAAAGTCTAACAACTCTAAACAGATTTAATACGCTTTGAATAAACAAGAGTGTAGTGTCAGTTGAGCTCCAAAAACTACCGTAACTCATTACTGGCATTTTATACAGACAGAGTTACATTGTAAGTCCTTGAATGTTTAACATAATTACTTAAAAATATTGTCCTTGGCTCTTAAGTTAACCTGAAAAGTTGTGAAATTTCTGTTAATGATCTGTATAATGAAAGGGTTCTATAGCGTACGTTACATCATTATAAAATTCATTTTTTAAATCGCACAGAATCGTTAGAATATCGCCCTGAAAAAAAATAGCAAAGTGTTGAATAATGAATGATAAAAATACATTTATTTCTCCATAGAAATTAATTCTGCATTACTCACCTCTTTTGACAAAAAAATCCAGTGGAAATTATCAATTTTTACTGATGTTTTATATCCATCCAGTTTAAAGAGTTTAGTGATTAATTTTCAACTACAAAAAATGCATACTCATTTATTGCCACAGAATTTGTTAGAATTGAATTGCTATGGATGTTTGGTTCAGTCAATTCAAACACAAAGTAGAAAGCATTAATCTTTTGTGCAGAATAACGAACGAATGAAATAACAAGCATGAAACTACCGCTAGTGACATGTATACTATGAATTGAACATGATGTAAAATAATTACAGACATTTAGATAAGCTATTTATATCATTATATTTCTGATATATGTATATATATATATATACATATATGCATTATTAACAACAGCAATCATGTTATGTCAGTGCTTCTATTAGGAATTTATGTGTACGCTGTCCAGTGTATGTCATTATGTCTCTCTTATCATCAACATAATATAACAATGTTGAGTTATAAAAATAAGAATATAACAAATAAAAATCATATCATCCGCAAATGCTGCTAATATTATTAGCGTTATTAACAAGAAAATAAGAATGTTCGCTTTTTTGTTAAAAAAAAAATTCATCACTATACTTATGTACTGACGGACAAAATGAGTAGCGTATGTTGATGTTTGAAATTGGTGATTTCAAAAAAAAACAAACAAACAAACAAACAAATATTTGTGCGATTGAAAGAGTTTTTGTGCTTCATTATATATAAATATATATATATATATATATATATATATATATATATATATATAAATAAGTAGACAATTATTTGTTTATTTTCTCATCCTAAGATCTGAACTGAGATTGAATAGTAGTAATAAGTTAGTGAAGAACAAGGTTGGGTAGAATGAAACAATTTATCTGACTGGATTATTGTGATCAGTAGCATATGAATGTTGAGATGAGAAATGGAATAAAGACAGAAAAAGAAACGTAGAAAATACAAATGTTTCCTTTCAAGAGAGAAGGGGGAGGATAAATAATTAACTAACTATATATTTATGTCCAGTGGTTAAATTAGCAAGTGATTTCATCTATTTTTATATACATATATACATATATATCTAAACATACATATTCAGATACAAACACATCCATAGGAAAAGTATTTTGTTCCCTTTTATAACTTTAAAGACAGACTGACAGTTTACTTACATAAAGTGTATCTCATTTCTACTATTCAAGCATATAATCACAAAGAGGGGGGAGGGAAATTTATAATGAGAACATTTTAGCTAAGTGTAGGCATAATATTCAGTGTCTCTTTTCAGTTGATATATATATATATATTTCTAACCTGTTTCTAACTTTGTAGAGTATGGTATTTTAGCAATTAATTCAATGATTTATGTAAAGATGATTTTGGTATTTCTCAGTGTACATTTTCAGTTCATTGAAATTACTCGCCAATTTGTGAAGTTCATTTTAAATTCAAAACAAAATGATAAATTCCAGTTGGCTTTTCCACATTTGGTATTGGTTTGATTCAATAGTAAAGAAGAACTTGTGACATTATGATGAAATTCAACATTTCTAACAAACCAATAAATTCCAATACAAATAATAGTTCATATTTTCTAATTTTTCTAAATCACTGAGCATTAAAATGTAAAATTAATTTTCTCCTGATCATTTTCCAGTGAATTCATACGTTCATGTGTGGCAGTAATAAAATAGTGTTAATGCCTAATGTCACATATTTGAAGAAAAAATTCAAATATGAAGGGTTTGCATGAAGACACAAACATTTGAAGTATTAATTAAAAAAGAAATCATAGATATGTTATGTTTGCAATGTTTAAATTCATACCGCGGAATCGTTTAATGTTTCTTCGTCTTTTTTGATTGTTTTTCGGGTTATATTATCATTAAATGATAAAGCGTTTCGTGAATAATTAAATTATATATACGTTTATATAAATAACTTCACCTAGAGCCCCTCTGAGGTCACTGCCGGTCCCAAGCCCGGATCCCTAGTTAAGATAGTTTGATAACTCCTATACCACAAGAATTTAATCGTTGAATTGCTCTCCTCTGCTATGAAAACCACCAATGAACAAGTTCTCCCATCATCATTGTAGTTCAACCATGAGTTCAAAGTATATTTTTGAAGAGTTCTATGCTAGGACAAAGAGCTATCTAGTGATTCACAGTTTTTAATGATGGTATAGGTATGATCAGTTCATGATTTAAATGACCGAATACTAATCTAATTTAAACTGGTGAGAAGTTAACTTAAAAGGAATAAATAACAGGCTGACTAAAGGACGTCAAAATCTTTCTGATTATCTTCAAATTATTTGCTGAATTGATATACTGAGATGTTAGACCAAATCAACTCACTGATCTATCATCAAGTTCTCACTTATTATTTAGATTGTAATGATTTTAATTACATTATTCTGAAAATAACTCATCATATAGACCACTAGAATAATGATTTTCTAAACGGTATAAGATTACTTGTTCTGGTTGGCGTTTTTTCTCTACGGGACGGGGTCATCAATCTCATGCCCAACCCTCCTCCTTTATCCGGACTTGAGACAAGCAATAACCACAGAAGGGCTTACTCATATAACATGGCTTTAAATATATACTGAATGAGTTATGCTTTGGAGAAACAAAACACAATTAATAAAATTTCAATAGATCATAGGATTCACATCAAAGATAATTATTCATCACCAATGAATACTAGTCTATTATTTCAACTATAGCTAACCTTGTAAAAGAGAAAAAAACTTCAATATAATTACTAAACAGATGTGAAAGGATTCACTGTTTATAATTATTATGCTAAACTGACATAATCATCTACTAGTTACTGTTCTCTAGAATATTTAAAAATACTCTTAGTCTATTCCTTTAAGAATATTTCTATTCTGATGATAACTTATTTTTTTCTAAACCAAGTTGTTATAATCATATCATAACACCGATTAATATTTATACTGTCTGTATTCATTTTCTTATTGAATTTACGGTTATTACTGATAGGAACTCATATATCCCAGGTTAGAATTGATTAAAAGGTATATATATATATATATATAGCTTTTAATCAATTCTAACCTGGGATATATTAGTTCCTATTAGACAGAAATAAGTAAAAAAAATAATTAATAGATTATCTAATTATTTATACTAACTTATTTAGTATATAACTAACTAACTAACTAGTTAATTGCATGTTAATTAAATCAATCAACTTTCTGATTATCATTGTGATGATGATTGTTAGTGTCAGCGGTGTATGAATAAAAAAAACAACTAATTCAATTATTATTATTATTATTATTATTATTATTATTTTCATAATTATCACTGTCATCATCATCATATAAATTAATGACGAAAAATAATTAATCAAATAAATAAATAAGTGAATAAATAACTCAATGATAAACCACAAACAATAAAAAAATTCAGCAAAATTAATTTCTTTATGAATCTAGCCAATGGTTACATTCTACGCCTATGAAATAATGAGTTAGTTGAATGAAAGAGAGAGTCTAGAGTCTATGCTTCAATAATTTCCATTCTTTATTCATTAAAATAAAAAATATCGATATGTGAAATATAATTCAAGTTGTGTAGCGAGCGATCGAATTTGAAATAAATTACAATTCGTACTTGGAATTTTACTACATTGGGGTTAGCAGCCCTAGAAATTATAGCCTTCAAATCTATGACATGCAGTCTTTTGAATACTGAAATGTTTGAAAACTTTTTTCATATCATTAGGATGTATTATTTTAAAGTGAAACTGATCATTAAAAGTTTATATACTGAATATAGCAGCCATCAGAAATCTGATTAGAAACGCTGTATGCAAAAGATGATTTTATGAACTATAGGCAGTTATATATATATATATATATATATATATATATATATATATATATGTATATTGTCCACAATTTAAATGTTGCAATGCAGTTTGGTTTTTATAAGCAGTCATCTGATTTGTAGTAAAGGTGATGAATGATATTTGACACAGTCTTACGTGTGCCTGTTTGTCATGTAATGTTTTTCATTATTCTAGCAAATTTACCTGATACGAACTCCGCCAGTAGAACCTTCTGGCTACTGCCGGTCCCAAGCCCAGATAAAGGAGGAGGGTTGGACATGGGGTTGGCGACCCCATCCCACCAAAAAACTAACTTGCCAAAATAACGCTAACCAGAAAAAATAAATCAAACCATTTTAACTCTGCCCTGGGAGTTGGAAGAAGAATGATGACATCTCGTGATGAAAGCCGAGTTCCCTCGGAAGTCACGAGGCCGATGCTTACTTTGACAACCAGAGCAACCATTCTTTTAAGTACATGGAACGTTCGAACATTTTGGGAGACTGGAAGACTATTTCAAGTTGCTGCATAAATGAGAAGATACATACTGGAGGTGCTTGGAATCAGCGAAATGCACTGGACACAGGTAAGACAACTGAGACTAGTTTCAGGGGAACTGCTGTTATACTCTGGCCATGAAGAGGAAAATGCTTCACATACAGAAGAAGTTGCACTGATGCTGCTGTTATTCATTATTCTGGCATATTTACCTGATACTGCTTATCGAAACAACCGGTTTGTCGACTAACTGCTAAATTATTTCTAGCACTGTATGTTGTGTATTGAATAGAAATTTCTCTTTTTAAAGTCAATATTTATAGCCTGTAAACAAAGAGAAAGATACTGACATTGAAGTGTTATAGACTGTAGTTAGCAATAATGTATAGGTTTCAGTAGCTTGATAAACTTGTAATCATGATTGGTTGATAGCACCATTGCTCTACAATAACATTTAGCAGTACAAATTAATTGTGAACAGCGTTAATTTGCTAGTTAGGATCTGCACTTTCTATTGTTTATACTTGGGACTGTGATTGATCAGTCACAGTTGTAATGAGTAAATTGTTCTATCGTTAACTTGTTTGTATTCTGGCCCAACAATTTCTATTGTCTAAATCGAGTTATCAAGTATACTGATTTAATT